ATTGCAAAGCTCATTAAAATAACAATGACCTTCGTAGTGGTTCGTAGCTACGTTCCAAACGGTACCTACGAGCAGGCTACGAGTGGTTACGCGCAGATACGAAGCGATATTTCACGACTGTACTGTATCACCTACGCAGATCTACAACCCTAGCCCACATAAAAAAAGCTTACATGCCTTAGGTGTCCCTGCCTTGAGATTTGCTGAGCAAAAAGGTACACAGAAGTAATTTAAAATCCCCTCATATCACCCTTTCGTACCAGCTAGCAACCCCTTTACTTGGGTAATACTTGGAGGGTTCCCCACTTGGAAGAATTCAACTCCCGGAGATCTGATTAAATGAGTTTCCTTAACACGTCATCTAATATCATTTTTCTGTGCATGGGGATAATTCTGTGAGACTATTGATAATACAGTAAAAACATTGTCATGTCGTCTAACGATTACAAGGAATGCAGTTTGATTTGTCAGCTGACAGTCGTACTGTACGACACAGTGGATGGCCGGAATTTAACCTTAATGAAATATATTTTTAAACAATGAAACTGAGCCTTTGTTATTTCACTGGAATTATTATTATAATATGTGAGAATTTTATTTGGTTATTAAGGTTACCATTTCTCTTCTTAGATGAAAACAGTTAGTGTTGCTTTAGTTCTGTGTCTCAACGTAGGGGTTGACCCTCCGGATGTTGTTAAGACCACGCCCTGTGCTCGACTGGAGTGCTGGATAGGTAAGTTGTCCTAAAAGTAATTAGTCACTTGAATATCTATGTACTTTATGTAAAACCTGACAAGACAGATACTACTTCGTGTAGTATTAGTGTACTTTTCATGGACAGGGTAGCAGATCATTGATTTTCCACCACCTGAAAATTCTCCTAGGTATGTAAAAACAGTTATTACCATTCCTATTCTAACTATTAATTACAATGGAAAATAAAAAAAAAAAAAAGAGAAAAAAGAAAGAAAGAAAGAAAAAGTAATTGAATGCCCAAAACACCTCCGAGGTTATTCACCAATAGTAGTCGATAAGTAATCGATTTCTCAATTGTTACCCGTTGCGATTGGGTGCTACAATCTTTATTACTCCCGATTACCACGGAATCCGATCGCAACGGATTGCACAGGCACTGATTGACCTATATCGTTGCTAGTGATGTAAAGTATCAAAGTAAAAAGGTGTCTGAATGGTGTCGAAGTTTGCGAATGGTTGCGAACAATTTGGATTACAACTGTTTACCACCGATTACATCGCAACCTGTCGCAATGCAAAGTCTAGTCTGAATAGGGTATTAGAGGAAGTGTAACTAACTGTGTGTACACACTGTCAAATTCTATGTGACAAATAAAATGTGATGCCCATTTGGGTGCAATATGACATCATCATGCCCATATATGGGCACATTTGGGTGCAATATGACATCATCATGCCCATATATGGGCACATTTGGGTGCAATATGACATCATCATGCCCATATATGGACACATTTGGGTGCAATATGACATCATCATGCCCATATATGAGCACATTTGTCACAGAAAATTTGATGGTGTGAACAGAACTTTAGTTTAAACAAATTTCTTCTCAGTGGTTTTATCTTTAATTTGTGAATTTCTTAAGCCTGTTTTCCACTAGGTGAATTTATTCGCGCGAATCAAACGCATCGGTTCGGTCCCTGAGCTTTAATTGGTTACGCACTTCTTTTCGCTTCGTAAAACGTAGAAACTGTTCTATTGATTTCGCTGAAGCAAAAACGCCCATAGAAATGTGAATGCGCAAGGGCATGAACAAACGCTTTTGACTCGTGCGAATAAATTCGCAATTGGAACACAGGCTTTATATTCCTTTGCCAGATCCTCTATCAATGAGTGCACAGAAAGCTCTGGAAGCAATTGGGTTGAATCTACAGAAGCAATATGAACGGTGGCAGCCACGAGTAAGCCATTCTTGAAATATCTTTTAAATAAATTGTTATTTTTATTCATATTCAAATTTATTCACAAAAACCTTCAAAAAGGGAGCAGTAAAACAGTATAATACAAACATAACAAAGTAAAACCATATTAAAAATATAAGAAAAAACAATTTTATATAACATTATACAATAAAAGTGCAGTGTTAATTATAATTCAAATTCCAAATTTCACTTGATCAAAATAACTACAAAAGAACCAGTATGGCAAGAAAAGAACAGGTGAACAAACACCTTTACAAAGCCATCTTACCACCGATAGTTACACAACCACCTGCTGTGTAATCAATTATGTAATATTATCTCTGTTTGTATTAAAATTGTACCAATTCTATTTTAAAATATTGATGGACACATCCTAATGACAGTAATTACAGTACATCCAACAAAAGAGTATGATTCTCTTTTAAAATTTTTTATTTGATTGAAAATTACAAATTGGCAAAAAAGTTAAACAATTAAAGGTTCTTGTACACTTTTTAGTTGTAATTTAACAATCTCTGCAATGTAACTATAAAATGGTTAAAACTACTAGTAATTTGGCATTGTATCTATTGAAAGTTAATGCCTTATTTATTACTTTCGCATCCTACAGAAAGTACATAAATCGGCAATTAGGTATAGGATCGAATGATGCTTTAGAAACTGTCCCTTTATGAGGCTTATTGAGTGGAGCTGATTTAGTCACGTGAAAAAAGCTCTGCAATGTCAGGGTTTGAACCCACGACCTTGGAATTGGAACGCTTGCACCTTAACCACCAAGCTATTCAGCTCCAACTTGCTTCACGACTATTTTTATGTTTAGGCACGTTACAAGCAAAGTCTGGACCCAACTGTAGAAGAAGTAAAAAAATTATGCACATCGTTGCGACGCAACGCTAAAGAAGAACGTGTTCTCTTCCATTATAATGGCCATGGAGTGCCACGGCCAACAACGAATGGAGAGATATGGGTTTTCAACAAAGTGAGTATACATTAATATTTAAAATCAAACCTAGAAGATTACAGGCAAAGATGTACTTTACCCACAAATCCAGGAACTCACTTCACACTGCGGTTGTCAATTAAAGCGATTCTATGGAGAGCAATGGATGGTTCATACTCTCACCGAAAATTAGTAGGCGGGGTTGTGTCGTCACCATTCACGTGGAGTGGAGTTGAATTTGTTGTACTTCTATCGTACGATGCATTGAGTGACTGGCTTTGGGATTCGAACCCATGACCATCCAATTATTATTTGAAAGCTCTACCATCTGATCTATGAGTTCAAGATGGTATAGTAATCCATTGTATTTTCCAATTAGTACACATTTTTTACCTAGCTATTTCATCGTATGCAGGAAATAGTACAGTATCTATAGATCACATGATGGTAGTAACTGTGAACTACATATAGTCATAATCATGTGTTTCATCTATTAATCATGGCATATATTTCCTTGTGGAAAATGAAATTTTCTTATGGGATAATCAAAGATTGGCCTCAAAGCTCAGTAGTATAGCATCCAAGTGGTAAATGGTGAGCCATAGGTTGTAATCCCGATAGAGAAAATATGATTTTCTTTAAAAAAAATGTATTTTAATACATATATCATCACTGATAATAGAGGAGTTACTATAATTATATATGTAGAAAAAATAATATTATTTTAGAAACAAAAGGTATTATGTTTATATATCATTAATAAAGGAGTTAATATGAAATATATTATTTGTTTATTATACATTTTAACTTTTATTTCAAGGATTTTTGAAATTGAAATATATAATTGTCTTTTTTTAAAAATCATATTTTCAAATACAGGTCTCCTTCCAAGTGGAAAGCTTATTTAATTAAAATGGCTAATTGCATTCAGTGGTCAGTTAGAGCCAGATAAATAAAATGATAATAAGTGACCATCACATGACCAAGCAGGAATTTTGGTGTCTCACTGGGCAACTTCCTGCCTTATCAAGTGGCTCAGCCACTGTATTAAGAAGTTAGTGGACATTATACATCTAAATGAGTGTAGTCCAGTTATTTGCCTTCATCTAGCTATAATTAAGCGTTCATATGGAAAGTTTTAGATGGTTTTAGCCAGACCATGTGGATGAGCCACTCAGTTTATCTCGTTCGATGTGAACTAACCTCTTGTCTTTCTTATTTAGAGCTACACGCAGTACATACCACTTTCAGTGTATGATCTGCAGACATGGATGGGTAGCCCGTCGATCTTTGTGTACGATTGTTCCAATGCAGGCCTGATACTCGAATCTTTTGAACATTTCTCAGCTCAGAAGGTACATGAAAGAGAGGTAAGATAAATATTTATTTAACTTGTGCTCTTTATATTTCCTGTATTTTAAAGTTGACAATGAGCTACAAAGGACTCCTATACAAAATAGAACTTACAATAATGACCAAAAATTGAGCTGAATTAAGTTGAATACTATATTACAATTGAATATTAGTCAACATCAATTAAATTACAACCGTTATTTTTCAATTGATACGGTTCCAATACTATGTCTGTAGCCTTAAGGACATACTGTATTTATGATAATGATTAAGTTATTCAGCAATTTTCTTTTCAGCTGGCAACAATAAATAGTCATACACTTCCAAAAAACCAAATGCCACTTCCTCAACCTGTGAAAAACTGCATCCAACTGGCTTCGTGCAGTTCAAACCAGTTACTACCTATGAATCCAGAATTGCCAGCTGACCTGTTTACATCGTGCCTGACAACACCTATTAAAATTGCTCTACGATGGTAATATACAGTTGCTCATCATCATCATCTGTTTTTATTCATCTTCATCAAACTCATCATTCTATCATCTTCCACACACCTTCTTCATTCTAATTTTATACCAACCTTGATCACCATCATCATCATTATCATAATTATTATCATCATCATCATCATCATTATGACTACTATTAATATAACATCACCACCATGATCATTATCATCGCCATCATCATTATCATAATTACTATCGTCATCATGATGACTACCATCAATATTCTGTCATTACACTACCATCATTATCATTATGTTCATTACTACTATCAACATAACATCATCATCATCATTGTCATCATCATCATCATCATCATCATCATCATCATCAACATCATCAACATCATCATCATCATTATCATCATAATTATCATCATCATTGTCATAATTATTATCATCATCACCATGACTACCATCAATATTCCGTCATCACCACCATCATTATCATTATGTTCATGTTTACTACCATCAACATAACATCATCATCATTATCATCATCATCATTATCATCATCATCATTATCATCATCATCATTATCATCATAATCTTTAACAATACTCATCAACATCACCATTATCATTCTTATCTTTCTTTTACTGTTCATTATCTATCCACCAGCATCATCATTATTGAAGTATAATTTATTTCATATTTTATATATTGACCATCTAATTATAAATGATCAAATCACATATGAGGCAATTCCCATCCAAATACCAGTGTATTATCGCTAATAGTTAAACCGAGTAATTAACATAAGAATGTAGCGGTATTTTATACTTCAGTTCAGGGAATCCATAAAACTTTTACTCATAACTTTGGCAATAGTAAGTGGATTCCAGTAAAATGACACATCATTTTGAAGCTTATAATATGGAGAATATGAATAGATCTTGTCTTGGGATGGATAGTCATGTCAAAATATGCTATTATTTTTAATAGTAATTATTATTAATAGGCCTAAAATAATAATAAAATGATAATAATAATATTATTTTAATATGTTCATGTTTCAATACAATTTTTTAAATCTCAGGTTTTGTTACCAAAAAAGCAGTAGCTTAGTAAGCGGTATCACCCCTGAACTTGTTGATAAGTGAGTACATAACCTGATTGTATACTAACTTAATATTAATAGTAGATTTGTAATAAATAGATGGATGGACTGAATAATAGATGGGATGAATAATGATGCATATAATTCAATAACAGTGATAGTAGATTTGTAATAAATAAAGAAATACAAGATTGTAGATTGATCCTATTATTACTGTAGTTCCCCGTGTATAATCCCCCTCCCCATGAACTCGAAATTGGCCCGATTTTTTGAGGGGTGGGATTATACCCGGCGATTTCCGTGTGCATGAACAGAACGAAAATGATGATCGTTTTGCGAGGTGCCAGATGCATTTGAACAACTGCCCTACAATTCAATGGCCTATCCAAAACTACTGTATATTCTGGTGAAGAAATCATAGTTTACTTGAACATCAAAGGGAAGGGTAACCTTAATTATAGTTAGTATGCCTTGGCACGTAGCTAGAGAGGCCATATATTTGTCTTACTTCGAGCTAGGTCAGCCTATGCCTAAACTTTCTTTCTTGATGTCGTAGATTATTTTTGGCCCAGCAACTACCATTACAATCAATCACCCATCGCATTGGGGAAGACTGCCCGCTTGTAATGCATGATGTAACGAGTTAGGGAAAATGTGTGAATTAACAATCTGATCAGCCCACTAGGTGGGTCTCTGTAGGGATGGACCGCAGTGTTGTCTATTTTTAGCCGAAGTTTGGGATACATGAGCCTTAACACTGTGAATTAATGATCTGATCAGCCCACTGGGCAGGTCTCTTTAGGGACAGACTGCGGTGTTGTCTATTTTAAATTTCAGTTAGCAAGCTGTTTATTTTAGCGACAATAGTAAACAACAAGAATTTACACGAATGGGCTTTTTATTCAATACGGCGACCAATGTCTGGTTCAATTAATTGAAAGAGTCTTAAGCCTGCTGAATTCGGAGCCAAATCCTTCATATTTTGTGAGCATTTGTTAAATTTTCCAACGTAGACTTAGGCCTACTCACCTAAATTATATCCTGGGACTTTGCCCGGGGAAATGCCTGTAATTCATGTTGGACGTAAAGTCGGGGGTGCGATTATATCTGAGGTGGCACTATAACTGAGGAACTTCGGTATATTTACAGTACTTTTTTTAAATGTTTTAGATTTTTAAATTTTTCTTTTTAAAAAAAATAGGATTCCTGGACAGTTGAATGACAGACGGACACCTTTAGGTGAACTTAACTGGATCTTCACAGCCGTTACAGATACTATTGCCTGGAATTCATTGCCCAGAGGTTTGTTAACTTTCATATTAGCTAGTTTAGATAATTAATAATTGGGTTTTTTATAGCTTTTTGTCAAACTATTTCTCTTTCTTTTTTAATTTTTAGGCGAGACTTTTTTTTATACCGCAAATATTGATTTCGAATAAAAATAAAATTGTAATTTTGGCCAATTAGCATTCCAGCCGCCACGAAAAAGTGGAAATTTCTGAAAAAAATTTATTTTTATTACGCCCTCCGTAGTAGTTCGATATTAGCATGGTTTTTAATGTCTCATTGTTTTAGTGAATGTTTTCACATTTTTATGTATTTTATCTCTCAGTTTCGGAGGTTTTAAAATATACAGTAATTTGTTGTCACTAATCCCTTCTCCTTACTTAGAACATGATAATACATTTACAAGTGTTCTTTTCTATGATTTAAGTCTCATCTTTTTGGTTTAAAAGTATTCTTATCTATATAAATATGATTTAAATAATGCAGTAGCAAGAATTTGTTAAATTTTTATGAATTTTTTTCCCCCTTTCAGATTTGTTTCAAAAATTGTTTCGTCAAGATTTACTAGTTGCCAGCTTATTTCGCAACTTCCTCCTGGCTGAGAGGATCATGAGGTCATATAATTGTACACCGATCTCAAGTCCTCGCTTACCACAAACATACCAGCATGCCATGTGGTAAGTTTACTCCTTAGTGCCACCCTCTTTTTTTCTAGAGGCTGTAATAATCGATGTGTATCAATCAATCAGTCATTCGATCACTCTGTCAACAATCTGTTTATCATCTCTAAATCAGTGGACACGTTTTGGCGCCGTTGAAATGGTTTCCCAACCTCGAGGTCATGGTTTAGAGTCCTTCAACAAGGCGCTGTCTACATTGCTTCAGTCGACCCAGCCACATGATTTCTCCTTAACGTTGTTGAAATCTCCCCTTAGCGACAGTACTTTTGCCTTAAGGTACTGTTTTTAACCCTCTTCATTGTTAAGGCTGTCTCTTATACACATCTAGATGTGTATAAGAGACAGGTAACATATATGTGAATGAGAGGTAATGATAGAATATGTTTTTTGTATTTTCAGGCAAGCCTGGGATCTGGCAGTTGATATATGTCTATCACAACTGCCTGCATTAATACAAGGCAAGGAGTACAAACACAGTCCATTCTTTGGTGAGCAACTAACAGCATTCCAGGTCTGGCTGACTGTTGGCTCTGACAAACGAAACCCACCAGAACAGCTGCCTATAGTATTGCAGGTAATCATTTCAGGTTCCTTCCATGGTGAGCACACTTGACCTGAGAGAGTAGGGAAGGGAGCCATCGACTGCATGACGACGGGTAGGATGGTCATGAATGAGTGAATCCATTCCAGCGTTGCGTCGTCGCGCAAGTCGAAAGCTTCCTAATATCGGTAATACAGTAGTAAAACCTTGCAAACGTCATTGATTTGCAGGAGATAAGTTAGTGCCGGGGAGATTCTTAGCTTGCTAACAGGAGCGCGGGAGACGCCCACTAATGACGTAATAATTAGGATCCCTGAACTCACCATTATTTTATTCCTATTCCTAAATGTATTTGTCATACCCATAAACTTCATTTCTTTTTTAAGTTTATGTCTGTTTTTTTCAACTATTATCCTTCATTCACTAATTGCTTTTTATCATTCATTTTTATTTCTTTGATCAGGTTTTACTAAGTCAAGTTCATCGGTTGCGCGCTCTTGATCTACTTGGGCGATTTCTTGATCTTGGACCGTGGGCTGTTAGTCTCGTAAGTATATAAAATTAAGTAAAGTATAAAACTAAACAAAAACAGTCATTTGCCAGTTCATCCATTTTTTTTTCTCCTTTCAGTTTTATATGTTGTATACAGTTGAAATCGAAATCCAAAATAGCATTGCAATATTGTTCAATTTGGCTTACAGTCTGTTAGTTAATCGAAAACACAACAATTTTGGCGTATAAAACAAGATCGACTTCGAATAAAGTAACTGAAATTATTTGAGTTGGGCAAGGTCGACTTATGCAAGTTTTGTATTTATATTTCTCTTCATTGTCACTACTGGTTTTATTTTAAAGTGCAAGATGCAAATTATTAATATATAGTAACACTTGTTTTTTTAGGCCTTGTCAGTAGGAATTTTCCCTTATGTATTAAAGTTACTGCAGAGCTCAGCCCGCGAGCTTAGGCCCTTACTAGTCTTCATCTGGGCTAAGATATTAGCTGTAGACAGGGTGAGTATTGCTTTTCACACTTCTGTATATTGATAGAGTGTATTTTATATGTAGCATTACTTAATATTATAGTTATAATATTATTATAGTATACTGTAAATGGATTTTTTGAATGTTCTAGGCTCTCAAAAAGATGGAACGATCTTCTTTATGTTAATCCATAATTTCTAAGGATCATGTGGGGTTATTGTCCCCTTGTATTTATATTATTATTAAAGTTGACGATGTTTAACTATGGATGTAAAGTCTGAAATAAAGAATAATGAATGAAATGATTAATTATTTTGAAACATTATTATTAATGGTAATTTATGATAGTAATGTTATTATTACTATTAATGTTATTATTATTATAATTATTATATATTATTATCATTATTATTATTACTATTATTATTATTATTATTATTATTATTATTTTCATCATTACTGTTCCTATGTATATTTTAATAGTCATTAATGTTGTTGCATCTATATTATTATTATTAATACAACTATATTATTATTATTATTATTAATGTTAATTATTATTATTATATAGTATATAATGCATTTTCATTAGTATTATAGTTGTTATTACCTAGACAGTGACAATGACAAAATAATTATTTCCTTTCAGCATTAAAATTTAACGAAAATATAAATTTACATATCATAATGTACAACATATCATAATGTATAGATATAAAGATTAGTTTAGTGCAGTCAAATTAGATTTCAAAAATGTTGACATTCTAGCATGTTTTGGCTATTATCTCTGAAACATGATTTGTGACGAGTGACTGGTTCGGCTTGTCTGACGCTATGTTGTTCTATTTTCAGTCTTGCCAAGCAGACCTTGTCAAGGACCATGGCCATAAGTACTTCTTATCTGTACTTGCTGATCCATTTATGCCTGTAAGTTACCATTCTCACACCAGCCTACAACTTTTCAAAACAAATATTTCTTTTTGAGTATATTTATCCAATTATAAACAATTACATACAAATCAGTTCATTGCAGCACATACTGAATATGTAGTGAACCAAAATTTGAAAAATAGATATCTAAAACAAATCAGCAATTATTACAAAATACTTTCAATACCTAGGCACTATTACATACATACAGTCATTACTGTCTAAAGTCAAACAATGTTAAGATATCTTGCTAAGGAAAGCAATTTTAATAAAATGTACTTTTTATGACGAATAAAGAGTTATCAGTATTAGTATCAATAGTAAATTTCAAATGGTTGTGATACTCAACTACTACAACATCTGTCATTCCAGCTTTTTCAGAAAAAGTTTCTCACAATTATGCATGAAATAAAAGGATATTTAGCCCGTAGAATACCTATTCGTTTGCACAGTATTTTTGATTAGTGAGCGTGCACACCTGCCCTAACGTTAATGATAGGAAAATTTGAATCTATTTTATTAATACTTGGCAATAATTGATTATTGATTATTTCTGGCATCAGATGAGTAAAATTAGTTTGATATTTGATATGTGATTGAGTTGTGATGACATCACATTATGGCCATATATAGGCACATCATGACTATATATGGGCATTGATAGAGTTATCATTTCTTCTCTCTATTAGGCTGAGCACAGGACAATGGCAGCATTTGTGTTGGCTATGATTGTTCATGATTACAGAAATGGACAGGTATGGTAAAAAATAGATGTGTATAAGAGACAGTCTGTATATTGATAGAGTGTATTTAGATGTGTATAAGAGACAGGTTGTCAGGCCCCGCTTTTGGAAAGTTAAAGAAAGGAAAAAGCGAAAAAAAGGAAATATAAATGATCACCCAAAACACCTCAGAGGTTATTTTCGAGTGTCTAGAAAACTGAAATTTAGTTGGGAATGCCCTAGGGTAGCGTTGTCTCGATAGGCCCACTTTTGGCCTCCCTCTCTGGATGCAACCCTAAGCAAATTTGTGTCAAGTTATATCACATGAAAGTATGATTGATCGTGATACAAGTGCCTTGGTCTAAAAAGAATTTGTTGTGTTTTTCACGTCAACATTTTACCTGTGAATAGGGATTGACTGAACTGTTGAAAGATGTATTTTCCATTGATTCACAACCAAGAAAATTGTCCCCTTAATAGGGGTGTGAATCTAGTGCTATCTATTTAATTATTATTTCGTACTTTTTAAATCTATAGGAGGCAGCTTTACAAGGCAATGTGATTGCCATATGTCTAGAACAGCTCAACGACAGCCATCCTCTGCTGCGCCAGTGGTTAGCGCTCTGCCTAGCTAGAGTGTGGACAAAAAAAGAACTGTATCACCGAAATGCATGTGGGAATACAAAAAATGGGCGCCATGTACGTCTGGTTCTAAAAACTATCTGCCAATCTCACGTCGCAGTGAATACTGTACGTAGGGCGGAGGTAGGAATAGTTGCCACATTGGCATTATCCATAAGATAGAAACAAGTAATAATAAATAAATCACAAAAAATTTTAAGGCCGAAATCAAAAGAATAACATGACAGACACAAAAGCGCAGAATCGTAGGACCGGAGTCTGATTAATGATGAAATTTTCCATGAAGTTTCTATTATTAGCGGAAAAAGAAGGGTGCTGTGTACAGTTAGATTTGATCTGAGAATGCTTGGAAACAGAAGGGCACCGGATACGTCTATATCTGTGTAAGAGATATGATGTATATCTGCTTCATTTTTGATATGCGAGAGTTCTTGTGTTTCTAGTATCTTTGCACTTACTGTGTAATTTTTTTTTTTTTTCTCTAGGAGCTTGTTGTTTCGCTTTATCAATTGATCCAACAATTCGAAGGACAGTTCGCGTCCGTGGCACGGCAGATACTTGAAGATCAGGACATGCTTGATGAACGGAATACACCCGCTGCAATTGCACCTGGTGGGTGGGAGGTGGTGTTAAATCCCACCGGTAAAACTAACGGTAGTGTGGTGCATCTGTTTTCGTTTGTCTGGTAAACCCATTACATTCAACACACCATCTTCATTCACTCACAGTTCCTAATAAACCTTTTGTCAATAAGTATTTAACATTATGTGTTTTATTGTCCTCTGCATCTTGTTTGTATCCTCTCTAACTTTTTCAAACCGTTATCCAACACTCTTGCACACTGTGTTGTGTTAAAGATATACTGCCTGTAGTAATACTAGGGCGGATGCAGGATTTGGCGGTCGGGGGTGCGTGAAAAGTCAACACCATCTCAGCCCCCACCATGGTTGGAGCTGAGGTGGGAAAATTAGAATATGGACCTCTGCATTGCCAGAAATTGGGAACGCTCTCATACTTTAAAAATTCAGGTACTATGTCTAAGTTCATATAGAATAGAATTATTTTTTTTAAATGAAATTTAGGGGGGTGGGTGTGCTGCACGCCCTGCATTTACCCCAGTAATGTCAGGAGATCCAATTTAATCATTGCGCTATTGATTTAAAAGAAACAAATTTACAACAGGTCATTTTTACCTGTTGTGCACATTTTGACTTCAAAAAATCCTTAAATTTATAAACAGTCGATGTAAATCCAGGTTCTTGAAGGGAAAAACAATCGATATGTTGTCAAATTGATATTTGTAAAACACAAAAATGGTGTTTGATGAAAAAATTGGGAACTGTTAATGAGATAAAGATTTTTGAATATTTAAAAACTGGGGAAAAGGGGGCATAACCTCCTCCTTTTCCACCCTTTTTTCACCCTTTTTTCCATGTTTTCCCCCAAGTTTTCAAATATTCAAAAATCTCTCTTGGAAAAATCAGTACAACATATCAAAATTAGTTTTTCCTCCTAAAGCTACATTTTAACTAGACACCATTATGACATGACACTTTACAGATGCGTGCACTGTTGAAGAATTACAAGCTGCACTATGATATGTCGTCGTTGTGTCTTTATCGTGTCTATTGTAAATCTAGCTTAAGCCTGGCTTTTAAATCAAGGAGAAATAGTATTATTTATACATTTTTCTCAGTTGCAAGATCTTTATGAAGATCTTTTTTCACATTTTATCTGACAAATCATTTTTGATTTGTCCATATATAGGCATGATGATGTCATATCACACCCATATATGGCCAGATCACTAGTTTTTTGTTATATTGAACAGAGCCTTAGATCAACACACTCAGTATATCTTTAATGTAACCTTCTAGTGAAAATGTATTATGTTATTTGACAGCACTAAATGTTGAATTGTTTTTGCACTTTTTAATACATACACCTAGTTTAATAGGATGGAATGTGTTGGGATTAATTAAAAGGGATTAGTTGTAGCATGGAGGGATTAAGTGAGAGAGGGGATTAGGTGTTGCATAGGGAGGGAATGAGTTAAAGTGGCATTGTTGATAGTACAGTTTTTAGAATTTTACTGATAATACTGTATGTCATACTATATCTGAATCGAACTGGAAACTTGAAAAGCTTGTGTGGTTGCGCTTGTTTATTTAATGGGTAACTCAATTAATTGTGTAGTTATTTGCATGCTAAATACCTTAAAGGTATTGCTGAAAGAATTTTCTCTAGTTTGTAATTCGTATACATTTTAGATTTTCATTTTCCTAAAAAAAAAAAAAACCAAAAAAAAAATCTAACAAATTTACATGCAACATTTCAACTGCAAACATCTAGTTTTTGTCAGGCAATGACCTGCTGCGATATTTCCAGTTCTGGCTAACTAGATATTAAGCAACATCTACACTTATGAGTAGGAGAGAGCCAGAGGTCCCTCCAAATATATATGAAATAGCTAAAACCATTTAACTTTAACGGGAGCAGGGAGTTTCCTGGACCCCTTACTGTATTAAACATAAATGGTCCTAGCTATATTTTTAAAAAAGTCAAGGAAGCCTTGCGAATGCTGACTCCTGTCCAGCTGATGAAAGATTAGCCCATTGCAGTTGAAACAATCCAAATTAAACCCCCTTTGTTTTTTTTTTATTCTTGGATTACAAGAAGTGAAAATCTAAAATGCTTTTTAAATGTATTCTGCTTGTTTGCCACACAGCAGTTAATAATATTTAGATACATATTTATATTTGAAATTAGCCCTGTATACAAGCTTTATATTTTTAGGTGGATTCAATTCTAATTATACCGTTAAAGCTTTTTAAAAATCCTTGTTCAGCCCTCTTATGAACCATTGCATGTTTAAATGTCAATGACACTTATAGTTATTATAAGAATACAAAAGTGCTAACTTCAATGCAATGAAGCTTTCAAAAAATAAAGCTTTGCTTTAGTTTGCTTTGGAAAATGGTCATTTTTAATGTGCTAACAAAGGTTCCTATATGGGTTCTTTTCATACTATAGCAGAAATAATAATAATAATGGTGGACTTTATAGAGCATGCATTGTAGAGACCTCTATGTGCTTAACATTATTACCCCCGGTCATTCGATCAAGCACATGTGGAACTCAGGTCCAATTTCAAACCCTGATTTACTTGGTTTTGTATGGCGGCACTATTGCATTTCAAAAGCAAAAATACACAAACTGTCATTGCCATCTCTCCTAGTTAGCACTCCAGTATTTTTATAACAACACTGTGGTTATTACTGAATATTTTGCATGTTCCTTCACCTTCTCTCATCCACATAGATTTTGAGGCGCACCGCCGAATGTCCATGCCAATGAATTCCACTGTGCGAAAGCAAACTCGTATGCATCGGAACCACAGCCTTGCATCAGTACACAACGTATATCGCAATGGTACCAGATTCATTTTTTCACCAACCCTCTAGATAGTTTTTGTAAAGAAACCCTTTTTTTGGGGGATTCTTACTGTTTTTTTGACGTAGTGAAATAGCATAAATAAAAAATCACTGGGATAGTATGAGATAGTTATAGAGTGAGATCATGCTAACTTTTTTAAGGGTATTGGTAAAATGTAAACAGTTATTATGCATTTTGAAAATGTTTTTGGCTTTTTAACCTTTGTACAATTGTTTTTAATACTGTAATTGTAATAAAAAAAATGTTGTGGCACTAGGAAATGAATATTAACAACTTGCCAGCTATCAAATTCTACTAATTTTATCTGTTAGCACTGTTAAGGTTTCTGTGAAAGATCTGTAATTAGCCTATGGGCTTGCAAATTTCATGTCATACATGGGTACATCACAGGTTTTTGCCACTTATAGAGCTTTAAAGTGAAGACAAAACTTTAAAAATTCAAAACTCAAAGATATACTATCCGTGTTAAATTTACAGGAAAACCCCTTTTAGCTTTAAAGTAAGTATTGGCACTAGATTTTAGAGCGAACATTTTGTGTTGTCTGATTTTAAATTTGTATGTGTTACTATGGTGAACTAACTATCGACTACTTTGTATCACCTTGTTTGATTTTGTCTTCATAAATAATTTGTGCTCATGTTTTTTAACTTTCAAAATAACAAAACAAAGATCAACTAAACACAGAATTTTAAAACAACAAATTTCAATTTATAAATCTTTACCAGTTATGAGATATAAGGTCTATTTTGTCAATAATTACCAGAATGTTTTTTTGGAACTTACCTAAAAAATAATAGAAGTATCCAATCCCAAAAGAGTTTGATAATATAATGCCTATTTGATGAGCTACTTAGGTCAATTACATTATTTTTTAGTTCAAAAACAGTGTATAATAAACAAGCAATATGTGATCACCCTCATTTTTGGGGTCAGACAATTCCATAATTTTTTAGGTAAGTTCCAAAAAAAAAAAATTGGCAGATATATTGGTTCATGCAGATTAAATATCTCATAGACTACCAACAACATTTGTGTGATCTGATGTAATGACTTTTTATCTACAGGTACCCAAAGTTCCCCTTCCTCCTCTGGAACTGCCTCTCCAAAAATTGGTTCAGTTCCCGAGAACGCTTCATTACACCCACCTACCATGACACGACTTCATAGTAATAGCTGGTCCAGTAAAGCGTTGAGTAAAATCTTCGGATCAGCAAGTAACGTATATACCCAAATATGGAAAGTTATGCTAATGCTAGCAAGTGACCCTCATCACGAAGTTAAGCAACTTGCGCATTCGTTGGTAAATGCCATTAATCTTAAGGTAAGCAGCGGCTTATCCAGAAATTCAAAATAGATGAGGCCCGGGGGAGGGGGGATGGGGGACTTCCCCAAAAGCAAGATCTATACCACTTGTGATATGGCACCTCTATATGGCTGGAATTTGCATATGGCAAATTTGAATATAATTTTCTTTATATCTCCATTTAAAAAATATGTTGAACAATTTATGGGGGGCCTGGGCCAGCTGGGCCGCCTTTGAATCCGCCACCGGTTAGAGAATTTCATGTTTGAAAAAGGTTGTGTACAAAAAAGATGAATAATATTTATTTATGTTACAATTAGGAACCTTGCCTTCTTGTTTTTTGATTGTCATTAGGACAAGTCACAACCATGTGTTTTGTTTATCCAACAGACAAGTTGTAGCCATGTGACTTGATTGCCCGTCGGGCAAGTCGCATCTATACAGGTTATACATGTGGCAAAGACAAGCCAAACCAGTCGCTCTTCGCAAATCATCTTTCAGAGATAATGGCCAAAACATGCTAGAATGTGAATATTTTAAAAATCTTTTATTGGCACTAAAACTAACCTGTTTGTTTGAACTTTTGTAACTCATTTTACTGTTTAACTCTCTTACTTACTTACTTACTTACTTAATCCTATTCGCCCCGAGCAGGACATAAGGCGTCAACGTTTAACTCTCTATTAATAACTAATTATTGATTTTTTGCAAAGAGTTACTGGTTTGGTTTGGTTTTGTCACATATAATACCAATATATATGTAGTTTTTATGAAAATAATTCTGCAAAAGAAGATTTAACAATTTCTAAATAATAATAATAAATAATAAAAATACAAATTTTAAAAATAATACATAAATAAGTTTAAATAACTCCAGGACCACTGGAAATGATTTTATATTCATTTAAACTTAATTGTTTGTACTAGGTTACAGTGACAGGGAAACCAAGGCATATGAAAGACACGAGGCAGACCTTCTCAGCACCATCCAGTCCAGTAAGAAACTATGACGAACCATCGGGAATAATGTAAGAAATATATATTAAATACTGTATATTCACTGTAGGTCAACAGAAAGAATGGCTCCTGATGCTGTAGGAGTACGAGTTTACTGCAGAAACTAGGTCAAAATTACAGTACCCTAAACATATTCCATTATCAGACTATAGTTATGTTCAGACAACATTCCGTCTGAAATAAAGTTACGACAAACGTATTATTTTACACGCGCGTTACTTCCAACGAGTGTCCACACTATGTTTACCCAGAACAACTAGTTCAAAGCTTAGAAGTAATTTTTTAAATTTTCCAGAAGATGTTCATCACTTCGCTGTCTCTTACAGTTATTTTGCACATATTTTTTTTGAAATTTTAAACAATTATGAAAACATCACGTCTGCAAAGGCTTACGACAAGTAAACTGCTATTTCAAAGCTTACTTCTGACTCGTCTGAACGTGCCTCATATCGCACATGTTGCTATCAGCCAGTGGTCATTTTACAGAACATCTACCACAGCATGAACTAAAATTAACCTTAACGTTTCATTCTACAGAAAAATTCCACTACCACAGCATAGGAGTGTATTTTTGCAAAAGCAGTGTACTAAAAAATATTTTATTTTGTTTATTAAGGTATTCTTCCCGTGTTGAGTTAAAAATACTATTCGCTATTGAATTTCTTACTTTGATATTTAAGTAAATTATTAGATTTGTTTAAAGCGGAAAAAAAAATGTGACATACCTAAATATGGTCATGATGACATCACATCATGACCATATATAGGCACATCGTTACTAAATATGGATATAGAACATTTTTTTTTGTCAAAGAAAATTTGATAGTCTCGACAAAGCTTTAGAAATACATTATTTGTTATATGCACTGCCTGAGTTGGATGATACCATTTTTTTGTAGGGAAGTTGTAGGTGAAATTTACATCTGATGTGTCAATATACTGTAACACACTTTAATACTTAAACCTAATGGTAAATCTTTCAGTGGAGGACCACCAGATGAGGAATTAAGAATACCAAATGAAATTGTGCGGCCAGTGGCGTTGCGACCAGGAGAACCTGCTCCTCCAGAAAGACCCCAGAATCCAGCTCCAATTGGATCCCAGTTCCCTCATTCCCACCAATTCCCAAGAACTAGGAAAATATTTGATAAAGGACCTACCACAGCAGCTGTAAGATCAGTTTCCTTTGTATTTGTATTACACATTAAATGTGCTTCATTTTATATTTTATTTGAGTATGTATTTGAGGCTTGCTATTCCAAAACCAGCATGCTGTCACTAATACCACTTTTACCTTATAAAGCCAAAAAAAACAGTTGTGTGAAACCGGAGCCAAAACCCATTTACACTTAATGAAGAAACTGCGGGATGATCACGGATTATCACCCATTTACACTTGACAACAATACCGGCTGAAAACCGATGTTGAATGTTACCCCATATGGACATTTTTTGATTAGAACTTGCTCATAAGTTTGCAATCAAGTTTAGTTTCGCAGGGGGAAAACATTTTAATTTTAAATTTGTACACTAAAAACCGAATTAATTTCTAAACAAAAAATGCAATCCAAAGCAATAAAATTTAACTTAAATTATGTTTATTGTTCTTAACTAAATACGTTCAAAATATATAATTAGTTATATCATTACAAAAAAACTGAATAATTTTAGTGAAAGAGGATGATTAAAATCCCGGTGTTTGAAAGGCGGGACTGTTTTCACTGTGTGTTTCGATGTCAACTGGACTATCCCGGAGAAGCTTCTCCTGAAAACATTCTGGTTCATTGACCTCGGGTTCAGCACACTGGATTGGATTGAATTGGATTGGTTTTATTCAGTGTAAACACCAAGGATAGCCCACAAAGTCTAGAAGAAGACTTAATTCCAGTGGGGTCATTCTGGTGGTGATTGGGCAGTACACCGGGACACAATCCCCTGCTATTTTCCGAAGAGTGTACTGCATTCTTTAACGTGCACATGTGCCATAAATGCACACGGGACCAACAGCTTAAATGTCTCATCTGAAAGACAGTGCGCTATTGTAACTTGTATTTCAGCCCTCCAGCTGAAATACAAGGAGAGGCAGCAATGGGAACCAGAGATCTCCACAGTTCAGTGCACACACAGTGACTACCACCAGATTAGCCGACTGATAGTGTAAAAGGGTATAATTGTTAAACTGAGTAATTGTCATAAGAATGTGGTATACATTAGTACTGAGAAACTTAATACTTTTACTCATTAACTTTGGCAATAGTAAGTGGATGCCAGTAAATGACCCATCATTTTTAAGCTTACAATGTGGAGCATAATAATATATTAATAGTCAATTTGCATTTTTCTTTTCACTGATGCTCGTTTTGGGATGGCAAGCCTCATTTTGATTTGAGTATTTACTTAAATTTTAGTATGTACTTTAGTTTAACTAACCGTATGTTCTTTGATCTGAGTATACACTTCGATTTGAGTATGTACTTCGATTTGAGTATGTACTGTACTTTTGTGTTACTAATATGATTTGAGTATGTTCTTTTATATGAGTATGTACTCTATTTTGAGTAGAGTATGTACATTATTTTGGTTTGAGTATGAACAATATCTTTATTTGAGTATGTACTTTCACTTTAGTATATAATTTGCTTTGAGTACTGTTAGGTACTTTTTAATTTCAGTGCCTCGATTCATTTGAGTATAACTAGCTCAATTTGAATACAGTATGTACTTACATTTAAGTATGTACTTTTATTTGAGTAGGTACATTATATGAGTATGTATTTTTGATTTGAGTATGTACTTAGATTTGAGTATGTACTTAAATTTGAGTATCTACTTAGATTTGAGTATGTACTTTGATTTGAGAATGTACTTAACTCTGAGTATGTACTTAGATTTGAATATGTACTTAAATTTGAGTATGTATCTTGATTTGAGTGTATGAACTTTCAGACTCTTGAAGATGTCCGTGATATGAGCACAACACAAAATTTGAAAATATCAACTGAATTTTTAGAATGGAGCTGCAAGTATTTTGCAAGATCAGTAATGAAGGTAATTTTCTATTACCATTTGTAGAGATGCAGATACAGATGCAGATAAACTTTATATCATCCTTTTCATAGGAAATTACATGGTCGAAAAGATGTTTCTCGTTCTTAAAGATATGATACAAATATTTTTTTTAATTTTTTAATACTAGTTAAATTTTTAATTTCTAAAATTTGATTTCAATAATTCTATATTATGTATTTTTGTAGATTTTGCATCAACGTTTCTGATTCCTCTAGGAATAAAAGAATCTCGAAAGTGGTTAGTGCAAACTCTTGCCAAACACATTCTACCGCTCCGTTTAATAAAACTAGCAACAATTACAAAGTGGAGAGGACGAGAATGATCTTTTAGAATCCTACCAAACTTTAATGTCACCCTTTCACAGTAGACAGAACCCACTGACGGCACACACTGGCCCACTATTCGTTCCCCATTATTGACGATGCGGTTAGTCCTGTCCATATCTCCCCCCCATGATATTTCCTCCCCAGCAAACTAGACAACATCTCAATGCACCAAAAATTATAGAATTATAATAATGTATTTATTATTTCAGATACATTTTCTCATTCTAGATATATTCAATACAATTATTATATTCAATGTTAATATATGGATAATGTGTATGGTATTATTGTAGCTTCCAGAAGAAATGGATCCAAGTAGCTTTGTACATCGGGAAAGGGAATGGAGGTTTGTTCGCAATAGTCGTGTACGTCGTGAAGCTGAAGAACAGATACAAAGAGCATGTAAGTATCAACATTGTTTTAATTATAAGAACAATGGTTTATTGACATTGTTATTGTCAACTAATGTTTGTTTTAATGTCCCTCTGTTAATTCAATTTTTGGTCCCCATCCTTTTGTTTAAGGAGGCAAAACACTCAGCAAAAATATAGAAATCGTATAAGCATTCAGGTACAATGTCTAGATTAGTTTTTTTGGTCTTACTTGTAATATGGAATTTATTGTATTACTAGTATTTCTAGTCCATATAATTCCATCTGGAGATCAAAAATGTTGTAAAAGCGGTTACATACATATTATAATTTTGCTTTAAAAATTGAATAACTTTGGTTTTTTTTTCTTCTAAAGCTGCTAGTACCTTAGATGACCAGATATTTATCAATAAAAATCAAGGGACACCATTTGTTGTAAAGTTCCATCCATATGACCCACATATAGCTGTAGCAGACAAGGAAGGTGTATGGTAAGGAGATTTGTTTTGGTATTGAAAGAATTAGAGGGTGCAAATCCAGTCATGTTACTGTTCTGACATGTGTAGCAATTCACCATTTATTCCAGTCTGGAAAATACTTGTGCGTGGAATTTCTTTGACTTCTGAATTTGCCATACATTACTTCTGCTGTTTTTGTCTGGTATGATAATGATGACTTAGTTTTCGTGTCAGAATTGCGGGATTTACTTACTTCATAGCAACAGCGTATTTTATTTTGAAGAAGGTGATATTTATTTTATTTTATTTATTTGTTCTTTATACTTGGTGGACTCTTCAGTCAAAAAGACTGTTCTCCCAGAGTGCCCAGTATACACAAAGATAAAATGGAGAAAATAAAAAAGTCGTAACAATAGAAAGTTAAAAAGGCACTAAAAATATATGTGTAAAAATATATAAATATAAAAAGTTTAAAAATTCCTAGTCCTAAGACCGAAAGGTCCACTGATTAAACTCAGATAAGAAAGTATAATACATACTCCAAGCACCGAAACACACGCCACCGCAAGCCATCACAATTCTATTTATCAACCTACAGGTCGTCCTCTAATTAAAGACGACTTCCGATTAAAGACAACTTCTCTGTGGTTAAAATTAACAAATGTTTTTTTTTATTCTTATTATTCTAATTAGAGATCAAACATTAAAACCATGGAAACCCCTGTCCCAAAAGTGTTGTTTAATTCTCAATGGGGGAGGTCTGTATTTGTGTCTTTAGGAATTTCGTGAATATAAATAAATAAAGTTAAAGTATAAAATCATGATAGCTTGCATCACTTTTATCTCTGCTTCTGCTTGTCCTCATGTGGAAACATGAGGCTGTTTATAATATTTCACAGCATATGTAATATTGTGCAGTCCACACCAGCAAGAATGTAATACGCTGGGAACCACTTTTTGTTAAACAAGTGTGGGTTTACCTCATGTAGTAGAATGTCAGAACAGCAAATATAATGTCAGTGGTTGAAATGTAGAACAACTCATATTCTCTTTGCTCCATGTTAAGCTGCAGTTTTTTACATTTATTTTCTGTGCATCTCTACACTGTATAGTGGAAACACTGTAGAAGACAATCTAGATTGTGTGTAGATACATGTATTAAAATCATGTTTGTGATCATTATCTTGTAAGACATTCTGTAAAAGTAATGCTGCTTTTTTTTAGTATTAATCTCTTTTAAGTAAAAACGTTTAAATTTATTCTTGCAGCATTTGGAACTGGGAACAAGGCGGGAAGATAAATTACTTTTCAAATCAAAATCCACGAAGTACCAAAATCACATCAATGGATTTCATGAATGCTCATGATTTACCATTGTTATTCACAGGGTCAGGTAATGATTCCCCTCCTGCTGTTACATAGTAAGGTCTTCATTCACCCCCCCCCCCTCCATTTCTATTGTTACAGGCTCAGCAACACACCATGTTTCACTTCACAATCAGTTAAAACACTATCTTTCAGTACTAATGGCAAAGACTGGTAACATACAGATACAGATTTTACTTTTTTATCCATTGCTAAAACTTACGTTGCTCACTTCTACAATAAGTAGATACAAGAGCAGATAGCTGAGTCATAAAACTAGTGGTAGCGACCGTGTGTGTGCGCTGAACCGTGGAGATCTTTAGGTCCTGGTTCAATTCTCATTACTGACCTCCTTGTGTTTTCAGCTGGAAGCAAGCCCTATAATGAATGCGTGTTAGACACGCATTATCACTACCCATCTTGTTACAATGTTTTTTTATTTTAAATTTTTTAATAGGTTCAGGTAATACTTCATCATAAGTATAATCTGCTTGTGTAATAAACATACAAAAATAGCGCTACCTTTGTTTTATTATATAAAATTATTATTCTGCAGATCATTACTATGTTTAAAGGTACGCATTTCTAATAATGTATTCCTTTATGTTGTATAGATGATGGCTGTGTTCGAATATGGAGGGAGTATACAAGCCCAGCAGGTTCTGGACTGGAATTAGTGACTGCCTGGCAGGCCCTGTCAGAGATGTTGCCTTCTTCTAGAGGTACGTTTCACCTCGACTGCAGTATGCCGCTGTACTACTCAACACTGTTTATTGCGTCGCAGTTGGAGTGAACCGAGTAGGGTTATCAGTGTGCATGAAGGTTTTTAATTTCTTAGGTTTGAATGTACTTGTTGCTTGAATGGTAATTGGTCAGTAATTGATGTAATGTCCACAACTAATTAATTTTATGCTGTACATTTTTTTTAACACTTTGACCGCCAGGGGTTTGAAAAAATAGTATCCACCACCACCAGCTTTTTTAGCAAATTTTAATACTTTTCCCGAAGCTCGTTGACAGTGCGTATTTCATCAGATTGACATGTAATTAATACTACAAGAACTACAAACATCTTAGCTTTACATTGGTACCAAACACTTTATTCTAATCACAAATCTAATGCCTCACCAGCACTCATAATACGCCCCATCCAAGCTAGCTGTGGCGTGAATTCAATCTTTATCAGATTGGATACTTTCAAATTTATGAAATACTTACAGTTCAGACTGAATATACAGTAGTGTTGAGATTGTCAGTACATGTCGGTAATTACCCCATCTATCGGATTCCATAAAAAAAATCCTGAATCATGGAGATCTCTGAGTTTGGCGGTCAAGCGTTGTGTTACCAAACACGGAGATCTCCATGTTTGGTGGGCAGAGTGTTAAAGAGAGAAGGTTTTATAGCTATATGTTCTTGCTTGGAGACTGACGGGGCAAGTATTTAAGTTGGAAGAACTAGATAAGCAACTGTATTGCAATTTCATTCATTCATTCAATAAAAAAAAAATTTCAGTCATAACAAAGTTTAGAATATGTTGAGAATTTGAGCTGAAGAAAATCTAGATTAAAACTTTGTTTTTTTTTGTTTTTTTTAACTTTTTACTAGGTTCTGGTCTTGTCGTTGACTGGGAACAGGAGTCAGGAATGCTGCTGGCATCTGGTGATGTTCGTGCAATAAGAGTATGGGACACTCAGAGAGAAATTAAACTACAAGTTCGTACTTTTTTAAGTCTCTGTCCACCCTCTCAATCTTTATGTAAGGGTATATGATTTGCCCATATACGGGCATGATAACATCATATCATACCCATATTTAGACAGATCACAGACCACTTATGTTATGATATATGATTTGCCTGAAACCCTTTCCACAGCTTGGTCAGAAGGCCCTTCGGATTGCGATGCGCGCCAAAGTTATCCTTATCTCACTCAGACCCCTTTCGGACACCTTAGCGCCCCCTCACTCTCCAGAAAATACCTACTGTACAACCACTACTGTGTCATACCCATATTTTCTAGTTTTAATACTGTATACAAATATTAAATATGTGTCATCTTTTATTGTATTTTCTATAAAGCCCTGTTCAGACTACCAAATTACATTGTCAAAAACATGTGACATGCCTAAATATGGTCATGATGACATCACATCATGACCATATATAGGCACATCATGACTATATGGGCATACAACATTTTTTGTCAAAAATAATTGGTAATCTGGTCATAGTATTAATGCTTATCCATTCGATATAAATCCTTCTGTCTGTTAGGATATACCTACTGGAGCTGATAGTTGTATTACGAGCCTTGCTTGCGATTCTGTTGGGAGGTCATTACTGATAGCTGGCTGCGGAGATGGGTCAGTTAGGCTGTATGACCGTCGATTAACTCCTCTTGATAGGTAAGTTTGTAGGCTTTGCTGTCAGCAGCTAGCAGAGATGTAGTTATGGTAGGCGGCAAAATTAGTTTAGACTGGGTACAAGACATCAAGACCACCCAGCCCTGATGTCTTTCACCCTGTCTAGCTAATTTCTTGGCCCTCTAACGACCTCTAACAATCCCTTGTCCATCCTTAAAATCCACTCTTAATATTTAGAGTTACCAATGTTATCTCCCACCCACTTTCAAAATGTCTTCCACCCAACCTTAGTTTTTACAGCTACAACACTTAGCTAAGCCATAAATACATTTCTTTCACCAAGTCGTACATTATACCAAATACTTTGTTTAGCAAATTTTTTCATAAGATCTTTAGAGGAGTGTGAAAAAAGATATAATAATAATAATAATAGTTGGATTAATATAGCGTGACGTTAGCGTCTCATAGCGCGCAAATCGTGGAATAGCTCATACTGTAACTTTCTTCTCTCCTAAGGGTCTCTTTGTGTCTGAGCTACCTGGTCAACTGGTACCAGCTACTCTCGTCTGTCCACGACAGGGACTGTGTGGAAGAGTACACTGGGGTCCCCCTACTCTTCTTGATAGATTACTTTGTTATGAGCCAACTGCGTACACTGGGCCTACGGTTTATAGTCCTTATCCGAGAAGACTTGTTAAACCTCCAGAACCATAGGCAAACTTACCATTTGAAACCAGATATTATGGCTGTAGGTTGCTATGTCCCTGCCTTAACTGCCATTCGACTAATCATATAGTGTATATTATTACTGTGTTTGGATTACTGGAATTTACTGTATTCTGGAATAAATTAATTAATCATATAAATATTTTTTCCCCCACCAGTCGTGTGCTAACATTACGGGAACACAGTAGCTGGGTTGTCAACGTCCATCTTCAAAAAGGCGGCGAGGGAAAAATTATAAGTGCAAGGTATGCATTCATTTATTTCTCTTGTATAATCAATCTTCTTGTCTAATTTTCAATTCAATCATTTCACTGCATAGCTGTCCCCATTGCAATCTGGAAAGTTCCCTCATTGGACCAACTAGAAAGTGTCGTTGAAAGTAGTGCGTAGCAATGTTATGGACACCAAGCTTTATATAAATCATTTATAAAATGATTCCTATATATTGTGGGAAATGGTTGCCATAGTTTGAGGAAATTCAGTTATGGTATTTAATTCATTTATATTCAATCCTATTAGCTACGAATGCCATCAAGGGCAATTATCCGCATCAACAATAATTAACAATAATTATTTACAATGGTAATATAGACTATAAAATAAAAAAAAAACATGATGGTAACGCAATAATTGAATAAAAGGATTTTAAATATAAGGACCAAATCAAATTGTATATAAAATTAAATTAAATTATTGCTTGCTTAATATTAGAAGTTGTGGCGGAGAATTGGTCAATGTTTAAAGTATACCTTAGGGATAGTGAATAAGGAAGGGGAGAGCTTTGAAATCGAGACGTTTTTGCATTGAATCGGAGATGGGATGATTTACGGTTATTTTTTGTTTTCAGTGTAAGTGGAGATGTACGTTTTTGGGATCCACGGTTCACCGAATCAGTTAAGGTGATTAACACAATACCAAATGTCCAGGCAATGGACGTCCATCAGAATGCTGGCATTTTGGCTTGGTGAGTCTCTCCCATCTTTCGTTAAGCATAATTTCAAGCCACATATATTTTACTACTGTATATACCAGTTTTCATGGTAATGTCTAAGGCATAATAATAGCAAGCCATACCTTAAACCTATACTCCCCATATGCCAGGTTTCAGGCATACAAAAGTCATACTATGTTCAAAGTTCTTATATGTTATTACTTAGGTGTAATTCCAAGCCATATACTATATCCCAGTTTTCATAGGTCATGTCTGTGTCATAAATAGCAGGCCATACTATTCACCCATATTCCCCATATGGCATGTTTTTGGGCATACATTTAAGTCATGCTATGCACCTAGTCTTTTAATGTCTTGTCTTAGCTGTAATTCCAAGCCATATACTATATCCCAGTTTTCATAGGTCATGTCTATGTCATAAATAGCAGGCCATACTATGCACCCATATTCCCCATATGTCATGTTTTTGGGCATACATAAGTCATACTATGCACCTAGTCTTTTTATGTCATGTCTTAGCTGTAATTCCAAGCCATATACTATATCCCAGTTTTCATAGGTCATGTCTATGTCATAAATAGCAGGCCATACTATGCACCCATAGTCACCATATGGCATGTTTTTGGGCATACATTTAAGTCATACTATGCACCTAGTCTTTTTATGTCATGTCTTAGCTGTAATTCCAAGCCATATACTATATCCTAGTTTTCATAGGTCATGTCTATGTCATAAATAGCAGGCCATACTATGCACCCATAGTCCCCATATGGCATGTTTTTGGGCATACATAAGTCATACTATGCACCTAGTCTTTTTATGTCATGTCTTAGCTGTAATTCCAAGCCATATTCTATATCCCAGTTTTCATAGGTCATGCTTTTGGCAAACCATACCATGTACCTATAGTCCCATATGTCAAGTTTTAGACACATATTTAATTCATACTATGTACCTAGTCTTTATGTCATGTCTTCGATCCAAGCTATACTATATACCATTTTTCCTAGGTCATGCTAAGCTATGATTAGCAAGCCATACCATCGCTATATGTCATGTTTTATGCATATATTCAAGTCATACTTATGAACTATAGTCTTTATATTTCATGCACTATATATTTCTAGAGATTATGTCTTATAAGTAAAATGTATTTTGCAATTTAGTATTCTCATTATTAAATTTTTTCTTTTCTTTGATATTCTGCTGAGAATTGCAATTATATTTTTTTGGTAAATTTTGAATTTCTCTCTTGTCATGTTTAATGTCACATTAACAGTTTTGATAGAATTTACTTCAAAGCTGTTTACTACTTCCCACTGTTGAACATACTGTATCTTCCTATAAGATAAAATAAAAATGTATAATTGATTTGTTGTTTCTTGACAGTGGCTCGCACCATCAGCTCATCAGTATTTATAATTTAGCAGGAGACACTCTGAGCACTATAAAGTACTATGAAGGGTTCATAGGTCAGCGCATTGGTCCCATCAACTGCTTAGCCTTCCATCCTCATAGAGTGAGTATACTAACAGTGCACCCCCCAATTAGAGACCCCTCTAATTTGAGACCACTTTTCCAAAGACCAAATAACAATCTTCAACCTTTTAACACAAAGCTAGCTCTCTTAATTGGAGACCAACCCCGAGACCACCCTAAATTTTCAGGTCCCAAAGGTGGTATTGAATTGGAGGGTAAACTGTCCTTGTCTTGTATTTTAAAAAAATGAATAGAAAACTAATTTATGCGTATCTAGCACACCCCCTAGATACGCCAGTGACCCTACTGGATTGGCCCCTGGAGAGTAGAGAAATATAGAAGATGTTAGAAATTGACTAAGCTTGTAGGATGATGATTAAGATACCACCATCTTTCTATCTCAGTTGGTAGAGCAACTAAATAGTAATTGAATTGCTTTAGGTTGGAATCCGGATGATTCCCCAATTCAAGTTTAATATGTATTGGAAAGCCTTTGATATTTCAACATAATTGTTATCAGTTGATAAAATTAACAGTTTTAAATTTTATTGTTTTTCCCACAGGTCCATTTAGCAGCCGGAAGCACCGATTCATTCCTGTCTATATATTCCACAGACAAGAAGAGATAAAGCTGTAACAAATTGAATTTTAACTTAGGCAATCATAATCAGAAAGGTTTTGTGATTGCAAGAAGCCATTTTGATAAAGCTCATTTTGTATTATACTATAAAATGCCTAGTAATAGCGAGCTTTCAATTGCATGATGACGGTAGGAAGTAAAATGTAATGACGTAGCATAAAGTCATCTGCGCATGCGAGAACTTTGAGTTCTCGCGGTCGCATGGATTCTAAGATGAAATATACGTTGTGCAGAGGATGTAGGAGAGTCACGCATGAGTGAATCCGTTCTAGCGTCATGTCATCGCACAAATTGAAAGCTCGCTTATGTGTGAGACATATCAAACGTTTGTGCGACTCAAAAAACAGAGAGGTTTGTTTACATATGAATTATAGTTCTAGGGTGAACTAGATTAATATAAGTCTGATATTTAATATCATTGTTATTTCTACCTTCTAAATTAATTTTATATTTTATAGTGTACTGTTAATTGTCTTGAAAATATACAGTTATGTTTTCATGTCATTCCAACACAAATTGAACCTAAGATCTTAATGAAGACAGTAAAAGAAAAATATGCAACAGCTTAAAGCTATGGGCAATAGTAATGCACCATATTGCAGTGAGGTGTGTTTTAGTCTTCGCATCATATGGCATTGTGATGTGTTGTATGCATCATATGGCACTGTGATGTGTTGTATGCATCATATGGTGCTGTGATGTGTTGTACAGTATGCATCATATGGCATTGTGAAATGTACTATATCATATGGCACTGTGATGTGTTGTATGCATCATATGGCTATGTGATGTGTTGTATACATCATATGGCACTGTGATGTATTGCATGCATCATATGGCTATGTGATGTGTTGTATGCATCATGTGGCACTGTGATGTGCTGCATGCATCATATGGCTATGTGATGTGTTGCATGCATCATGTGGCACTGTGATGTGTTGTATGCATCATGTGGCACTGTGATGTGTTGCATGCATCATATGGTGCTGTGATGTGTTGTACAGTATGCATCATGGCATTGTGACATGTACTATTATCATATGGCACTGGGATGTGTTGTATGCATCATATGGCATGTGATGTAGCATATTGCACTGTGATGTGTTGTATGCTTTGCATGGCACTGTGATGCGTTGTATGCAGCATATGGCACTGTGATGTGTTGTATGCATCATGTGGCACTGTGATGTGTTGATGCATCATGTGGCACTGTGATGTGTTGCATGCATCATATGGCACTGTGATGTGTTGTATGCTTTGCATGGCACTGTGATGTGTTGTATGCATCATATGGCATTGTGATGTGTTGTATGCATCATGTGGCACTGTGATGTGTTGTATGCATCATGTGGCACTGTGATGTGTTGTATGCATCATATGGCACTGTGATGTGTTGCATGCATGATGTGGCACTGTGATGTGTTGTACAGTATGCATCATGGCATTGTGACATGTACTATATCATATGGCACTGTGATGTGTTTTATGCATCGTATGGTGTGATATATACTGTATCATATGGCTAACTTTATTTGTGATGCGATTATATATAAGGTGCCAATCGTAATAAGTTTATTTTTTAATTTTCTTTAAACAAGTGATTTAATTTGAATGTGTATATATTTTTCTGTAATATGTGGCTGTAAAAGAAAGAATATAATTATGCCCTTGGACAAACAGAGGTTGATAAAATATCATGCTCAAGGGCAAATGCAATGCGACTGACACTTCATATGTGTTAATCTCATCATAAGAGAGTATATAGTTATTATACGTAACATTTTTTTAATTTAATGACAAATGCTTCCAACTATTACTACAAACAATACTGATATTTACTAGTGTAATATTATTGTTGTTTAATATAGACAATATATTTATTATTATTATATGTTGTTGCTGATATTATTATATTATTAATATTATTATTGTATATTATTATGTTTATTATCTTTATTATGTATTATGATTATTGTCATTATTATACAGTATTGTTATTATTTTTTATTATTCTTTTATCATGATCTGTTGGTTACTAGTCTCATAATAGCGAAACATCAAATAATTGGTACCTTAGGCAGACTGCTTAAAGCTGGTCTAACAATTATGATCATAACACTTTGTTGCCTGTAATCGTAACATGGATACGGCTTTATAATTATACAGGAGCGGATTTAAGGGGGGGGGAGGCTATTAATAGGATTATGACAAATATGCTGGTGATGATGATGATGATGGTGGTACTGATAATGAGATAATGGTGTAATGAAGCAGGGGGATTTGGGGGAGGGGGTGCAGGCCGGCACCAGCTCCCCTTTTGGATGGTAAAAAAAAAGAAAGAAAGAAAAAGAAAAAAAATGATTGCTCAAAACGCCTCAGAGGTTATTTTCGGCCGTCTAGAACACAAAAAATTGTGTTCTAGACGCCCTGTGTTCTAGACGCCCGAGTTCCCCCGGGCCCCATAGGATAGTATGAACTCGATCGGCCCACTTTCGGGGCCCCCCCCCCCCCTTTTGAACATCTCTGGATCCGCCCCTGTGAAGATGATGTTTTTCAGCTCCATCAAGTCATCAGAAATCCATAGACTCGCACAAATTTCTCAACAGTAAATAAAAAACAAACAGCACTTAACAAACATTTTTTGTAATACAAGACCTTTTGAGCACACAGTGGTCTTCATCAGGTGATTTAAAAAAAAAAAAAATCATTTGCTAATATGAGGTTGACCAGCTCCCACCTTTTTTGTAATTATCTCATTAACGAGGGGAGGCTGTTAATAGGATTATGACAAATATGCTGGTGATGATGATGATGGTGGTACTGATAATGAGATAATGGTGTAATGAAGCAGGGGGATTTGGGGGAGGGGGTGCAGGCCGGCACCAGCTCCCCTTTTGGATGGTAAAAAAAAGAAAGAAAGAAAAAGAAAAAAAAATGATTGCTCAAAATGCCTCAGAGGTTATTTTCGGCCGTCTAGAACACAAAAAATTGTGTTCTAGACGCCCGAGTTTCCCCGGGCCCCATAGGATAGTATGAACTCGATCGGCCCACTTTTGGGCCCCCCCCCTTTTGAACATCTCTGAATCCGCCCCTGTGAAGATGATGTTTTTCAGCTCCATCAAGTCATCAGAAATCCATAGACTCGCACAAATTTCTCAACAGTAAATAAAAAACAAACAGCACTTAACAAACATTTTTTGTAATACAAGACCTTTTGAGCACACAGTGGTCTTCATCAGGTGATTTAAAAAAAAATAATCATTTGCTAATATGAGGTTGACCAGCTCCCACCTTTTTTGTAATTATCTCATTAACTTGTGTTAACTTGTTATTTTTTTTTTTTTTGCAACTCAAGCTAAATACAAAAATAATTAATTTAAAATCGAAATTGTTTTTCAATAAAATACCATGCATTTGGAGTTGGAGCAGCTGTTTTTATAGATATGTTCCGTAAGGTTCAGTTTTACAGTATTTTAAGAAGTGTTGTGATTAGAATTTTATAAACAAAACGATTATTATATTGAATGATGCATTACTCATGTTGCCATGGATACCAATGTTAAGCACAATATTTATTATTACTTTCAGCCATATTATTCAGTTTTTATTATTTTTATTTTATTATTCTTCCTAAGTATTTTACTTTGATGCCTGATATGCTTTCATTATAATTTAGCAATCAGCAAGTTTTATTGGTCAGTGTTAAGTATGGAAGTTTGATTGGGTAGCACTAAGCCGGCAAGTCTAATTGGCCGTCATTGCTAAGACGGCAGTGCTATGTGGTCAGTGCTAAGTTTGAATAACTGCTTATGCTTTTATTTGAAATATAAAAAATATCAGAAAATAACTACAATATATAATAATTTGCACTGTCGTTTGACGAAATCATTGGCATTATTTTAAAATTGTATTATGGTATCGCAATAATGTTGATAATTAAATAATCATTCTTGTGACTAAATGTTTTTGTAGTTTAATCTATCACTATTTGTGTTTGCTTAATAACCCTGAACAATACAAATATGCAAATTGCCAAATTTTTTATATTTAGTAATACTTATCTTTCAGAGTATAACAAAAAGATTTCCTTTTCCTCTCAATTAATAGACAATAAGTAGATAAAAATAAAGTTACAATAATAATAATAATAATGCGACATTTATAGCGTGTATATTGTAATAAACTGCCTCTATACGCTTTACATTATTACCCCCCACCCCCGAACACATCCTTATTATTATTATTCACGCAATTTGAAAGCGTCAGTTCACACGTATACGCATTTCCATCAGGAACTGTTTGTGAAATAAATTCGTCTTGTGGAAAACGGCCTTAAATTTTGAGAGTTCGAGCAACGACCATTGCACCACCCTCCTACTGTATGCTGCCAACCCAAGTCAAGAAATAAAAAATGAAATAATTTAAATTGCTTGTTTACAAGCACCAAATGAGTTATGAACTCCGCAACCTACAACCATATTATAATATTGGAGCTGGTTCGAACGGCAAATGGTTCTGGTCGTGAAACAAGTCTTTTTTGATACGGACTATAAACAAGTGTACACAATTTTGTACTCATTGCAACTCATGTATTTTCGTGTATTACTACTTTAGCTAAAAATAGGAGCTTAACAAACATGGCTGGTAGTCACTCCACCAACTATGCAACGCAAAAACCCAGTACATCTTTCAAGACGAGTGGGGGAGTTACTCCAGTGCACTGTTCTGTACAGGTAAGAGATAGCTGGTACCGGTTTACTGGGAAGCATTGATACAAAGAGAACATTGGGTTAGCAAAAAGTTTATCGTACAAGCTTGTTCACATCTCAAGCTCTTTGAGACTTCGGTATACAGCGCTAATTTCAACTAGTACATTACACATTACTTATTAGTACAGTCACAGATTTAAAAAAGGGTCCAATGATTTACAGATTTGTATCACAATGTTGCGCCTTTTTTAACACTGGAAGGCCTCCTGTATCCTCTAGCAAATATGAAAAGTTCAGCTGATTCCTTTCTGCTAGCTTCTGGACGAACACTACGACAATTAGTAAATGATTTACTGAGTTCTTTTTTCAGAGCTTCACACTCATATCCATCCCAGACTTTGCAGAGGAATATACCGTTATTCTTCAGTACCCTTGTTGTAAATGATGCAACTGCACTGGCTAATCTGATAATGTTCTCGTGATCCAAGTCTTTCATACCTGTTGCGTTGGGCGCCATGTCGCTAATGACGCTGTTGGCCATCTTGCCTTGTAGACATGCTACGATGCGAGACTGGTTTTTCTCGTCCATGAAGTCACAGTTACTTAGTGTTGTTACGCCCGGGATGGGATCGAATTCCAGGATGTCAATAGCTACAACTTTACCTTGTGGTCTAGTCTTGTCTGTGAATCAAAAAAATAAAATTTTAATATGGGGGCCCGGGTCGGCTGGCCTCGCCCCCTTGAATTCGCCACTGAATTGGTTGTTTGATGCTGGTTTGCAGAGCACACATTATTACAAGTCTTTAAGCAAAATTTATTCTTGTCTTCAATGCTTTATCCAAACTATCATGTTTTCTGTGTCAAATATATGAGATTTGCCATATATGGGCATATATTTGCCATATATGGGCATGATGATATCACATCACATCCATATGGACAATAATCCGATCTCTATGAAGTGATCATTCCTCTCACTTTCACTTACTTATTAGGCATCACCTGTTCCACTCTGACTAATTCTCGCTGTTTTATGCACCTTGCATCGATCCATTATATAAATTTCTATTACCATTATACAGTACAGTATATACTGTAGGTCCATGTTAAATTTAAATAATCGTTCAAATGTTCAATCAGAATTTTCTTCAATTCTGCAAGAACAATTTATTATTTAATGCAGCAAGAGCAGTGGCACCAGAAATTTGCTGACAAGAGGTCCGACGTGTCCGACAGACAGGGGCGGATCCAGAGATGTCCAAAAGGTGGGGGATGCAAAAGTTGGGCTGATTGAGACAACACATGCCCCGCGAAATGTTTGTATTCTAGACGCCCCTGAAAATAACATTTGAGGCGTTCTGGGCTATCTTTTTTTTCCCTTTCTTTTTTTACCTCCCAAAAAGGGGGACTGAGGTCGGCTGCCCCCCCCCCACAAATCCGCCCCTGCGACAGAGGGGTCCAACTAAGGCGACGATGAAACCTCTGTCAACAGCCAGAATAAAAAAAAAAACGGTGTTAAGGTTCATGGGGAGAGTTCTTATGGCTTAATTTGGTCCTAATTTTAATTTAATTTAGGCCTGTCCGACACGGGTAAAATGACCACCCCTCCCGCTGGCGCAACCACTGGCAGCGGGACCTTACCATTTGAGAGTGCGTTGACCTTATCAGCTGCCACTTGGCTCCATGATCCAGGTGCTGCCCCACAATCTATGACGACGTCTCCCGGTTTGAATAGTTGAAATCTGTCGTTAATTTCCAGCAACTTGAAGGCACTTCTTGCTCTGTAATGCTGAACCTAAAATTAGTATAAAACAATAAGACCTCGCTTTGAAGTGGGCCTAGAATCAAATAGGGATTCTTGTATCATTGTCTCTTTTTGAGCAGTGTCCATGGAGTTCTCTGATTAGATAAAATCTAAGCTATTGCTAAGCTCATGTGCATATTCAATTTTCAAAGGAGTGACAAAAGTTTGTTTATCAATTTAATGTCCCACTCTTTTTTCACCTTTTTCCCCATTAACTATTTAAAACATCTGTTGTACCTCATTCTCATATAAGCGTTCCTAAGTTTCTTGTCACCGAAGCCTGGCTTTAGAAGAGGCTGCCCTAATTTTTTCAATTGATTGCACCCTTGATGGCAAAGAGAGTAACACTGCCATACTTTACCTGTGCTTCCTTCACAAAAGGGTCTTTCATGTGCCTGGCAATCCATCTCTTGGATGAGCTGGAATTCTTCCGATTTTGAACACATGATGTGTGTAATGATGTACACCCTAACACCAAAACAGTCTTGAAGGCTTTACTTTGTTCTGTGGATAATACTGCGTTTATTAGAGGCCTGATTGGTAAATAAATCGTCATATTCCCAGCACGTGTCGCACAGGCAAGCTACGCCATGTTATGTAATCATTAAGGGGAATCCCTTTTATTTATGTTGAGAGAGGGCGCTGTTCGGAAATCGCTGACGGTATTTTTAACATTTTATTCAATATTTTTATCAATGAACTTACAAAACTCCTCCGTAATAGTGAATTAGATGTAAGAATTAATGGTGTCTGGATGGGGGGGGGGGATATTATGGGCAGACGATGTAGTACTTATTGCTGAAAACGAGTTTGATTTGTCAAAATGTTGGACGTCGCTGGTAAATTTACTAAAGAATGGAAATTAGATTTTAACTATAATAAATCAAATGTTATAGTATTCGGTAAACTTGTGAATAGAGATAAAAAGTGGAAACTTGATGATGAGTACATTTCAGAGGTAGATAATTACAAATATCTTGAAACCCATCTATCACGTAACCTGAGTAAACATACTCAATATGAATATGTCATTAAAAAAGGAAATCGCCTAATTTTGACGATTTCAATCGCGTTTATTATGGTAACGTTTTATGGAAGACTATTGCTCTACCATCTAGAACTATGCTTGTGCAACTTGGTGTAATACCTCAAATGATAATAAGTTAGAGCGCCTACAAATGCAAATGGCCAGATATATACTTAAGGCCCCACGCTGTACACCACAGGCAGCTTTATAGCGAACTGGGGTGGTCACCATTATCATAGGCGTAGATCTCGGGGGATGGGGGAATGGGGGATATATCCCCCCAATATTTGACAAGGGTGGGATGGTCCATTGTATCATCCCCCCAACAATATGTTGACTATGTATGGAATAAAATGGAGCTTTACACACTTCAAAAGACTGTCCCAGAAATATTTTTCAATGTCTTATGCGCTTACAAAGATGAAAAGCATAATGTATTAATGTTGATAAAAAAATTATTTTATCTAGTACCAATCTAAGCTCTTCTTTCCTTAGATGTTAGATGTGCTTGGAAAGCAAGCCACATTTCACACTGAAGGGTGTGTACGACATCAGTAATCTTATGTCAATTCCAAGAATGTTTAAGGTTATATCGGTTGATGAGGAATTTATTGATTAGGCCTAAAATAGCAAATTGCATCAATTTATTTTGCAAAAACAAGGTTTCCCAGTCTGCTGCTACCGACAATCATCAGACGGCGTTGCGTTAGCTGTTTTTTAATTATAAGCAAATTGGGAATACCCGTCACCCGTGTGCGTTAGTAATCATTACATAGAATGTGGAAGTTATGAAAAAGCGGAAGCGACAGTCAGGACACATTAGAATCAAAGAAAGGTAAATAAGTGTATATAGGCCTAGCCTATATATATATATATATTATACACATATATATATTTATATATATATACATACATATATATTGATATATATATATACATATGTATGTATATATATATATATATGTGTATATGCGTGTGTATGTATATATATATATATATATATATATATATATATATATATATATATATATATATATTAGCAAGACGGTCGTATCATGACCAAAAATAATGACCAAATCACAATTGTCATTTTAAACCTATTGAGTAGCTCTATAACTTTTTAACTAAATGATATCTCCACAAATCAATGATAAAAAGTTGCTATAGATTAAAAAGTTCGAAGTTGAATAAAAAACCTCTTGGTTCGGACCACTCGTCGGGCCCTTTCGGCGTTGTAGTGTCGGACGACAAAGGGTATAGGCCTGTCGGAAGGTGGGGAGGGGCAGGAATTCTCCCTGCCCCTGCAGGTACCACATTATTTATAAAGGAATTTCAACCTTGAATTTCTAAGTGATCAAACTTTTTTCATACCGATATAAATATTAACAGTTGATATTACAGTGTTAATATATACAAAAAGTGCAATCCGAATGATGCCATACAGTATAATATAATTGCTCATTGGTCAGGAACTGTTAGAGCGCCCATCAAACAATATCCGAGAGATTGACTTTTTTTTTTTGTTTTTTTTTTTTGGTTGATTTGACATGGAATTACCTTTAGGCCTATTATATTTATACGAGTTGAAGGATGTTGTGAAATACATATAAAATTATATAGACCTAATTAAATCAAACATATTATGTATATTGGGATACCGTTATTATCACAGATTAAATGCATAGCAAACGTTTTCGCTTTTAAAACATCAAGGAAAAAATCAGGTTCGAATACACTGGAATTTGTAATGTGTTTGTCATTTATGTCTCCGCTTGGCTACACCGGTAGTACAATTTTTTTTATAAGAACACATTTAATAAGAACACCGATGATGAAATTGCTTTAAAAATAAGAACAAACTAAGAACAAATCGAGGCTGAGTTAAAAATTCAAATCAGGTTAAAAAAAAAAATAGAAAACCATGAAGCTAGTCACATACAGTACGGTAAATTATTAATACCTCTATTTTGTGTTACACAACCCGTGGTCCGCGGACCACTTTGTGGTTAACCGGAAATATTTGGTGGTCCCAGGGGAGGGTGGGGTGGGGGGGGGACGTGAGAAATGTATGTGGCCCTCCAAAGGATGAGTGGTCCGCCGTCGAATATGGCTTATAAATCCACAACAAGCAACATAGGGCCTACCGGTACTGTTTTAATTTGACATTGCTTTCACGCTTAGACGTGCCACGCGTATTATTGAAATATTGGGTAGGTAGACATTTATGAATACACAGGGTACAGTTCCTTCATGAATAAATAAATGAAACACGAACATATTATACAATGCAATATGAATAACAATGGCCTCATATATACGTGTTGACGGATATTGTGAAATACATATAAACATTATATAGGTTTAATTAAATCAAACATGTGTTATGAATACATAGGGTACAATATGCTTATTCCTTCGTGAATAAATGCATGGATGAAACATAAACATATTATATAATGCAATAGGAATAACAATGACTATAGACTTATTATATCAATACGAGTTGACGGATATTATGAAATACATATAAAAATTATGCTGCCTAATTAAATTAGACATGTGTTATGAATTACACAGGGTACAGACGGTATGCTTATTTCTCCATGAATAAATAAGTGGAAGAACACGAACAATTAGATAATGCAATATGAATAACAATAAATATAGGCCTGTTATATTTATCCGCGTTATCTTTTCTCTTGCTTTTCCTCCATGATTCTGGTGGACTTCTACGATCTTTACTTTCAAATTGTTTTTATTATCATTTTTAATTCTCTTTCTTTAATTATTATTTTATTTGTGTTTTTTTTTGTTCTTATTATTGTGCAAGAACACAAACATATTATATTATGCAATTAAATTATATTTATATACGTAGTACCAAGCAGGAGTATGTTCGGGTGAGACTGTCCCCCTCCCTACGACAAGGACCTCCGGTGGGGTTCAGGGGGCGAAGACCCTGAGAAGTAGCTTATTCTGGAAGTTTTAGAACATTTTTGAGGGTATAAAGTGAAAATTGCAAAAAATATAAATAATATTAGTAGGGCTAACAATAATTATAATAATAACTCAACAGTGGCGGATCCGGGAATTCAAAAGAGAGGTGGCTGAAGGTAAACTAATTTGAGGAAATAATACCTCCAGATCAGTTAAGATAGTATAATACATACTTCAAGTATCAAAATGCACGCCATCGTGTCGGAATTCTAGATCAGTTCGCAACCCCTATAGACATATCAAAAGACTTCACGGACCCCCATGTCTATATCCCTCATTGTTCATATCCCAACAGTGAGATTATAGATAGAAGATGATTTACCACGAAAGTCATTAAACATTAAACAGTGGCGAAATCCTGGAATTCGAAAATAGGAACCACCTCAGCCCCACCATGGTTGGGGCTGAGGTACAAAATTTTGTATGTCTATGTGGCACTTCTAGATGGCCGGAAATTGCACTAGTCATACTAATAACTTGCAGGTAATTTTTGTTTATCTCCAATTTAATTTTTGTAAACATTAGGGCTACTCGTGGTTGACTTTCCATCAATAGATTATGGACAGAAAATGACGATTCGCTAAAGTGCGACATCTTGGATCTTGGAATTCTATATAGACAGGATGGGAGAAGGTGCAGAAATAGGGTAAATTTTATGTCTATGGCACTTCTAGATTGCCGGAAATTACACTGTCAGACTCAAAATTTGAATGAAATATTCTGTTATCATGTCACCATTTATTTTTAATTTTGTCAAATTTAGAGCTCCCTCTTGATTTTTAAAATTTCTTCAGTATCCAGGTGGAAGCAATGCAAGAGAAAATATGAAAAAAAGATGTACATTACCCGAGGATTGCCACTATCAAGTTGATCTCCTATACTAAACATCTTTACATAAAGAATACATACAAAACTAATTAAAAGATCAGATCACCAATAAAATATTAGAATTAAAATATAATGCCAGTTAGAACGATTTACAGTGAACGAAGTCATGCCTGTCAAGGGTTTCATTTTGTCAAGGCATGACTACATTGTTGTAAGACACGAAAAAAAAAATGGAATCTTAAAAAAAGTTATAATAATCTAGCGGACTCCTACATTATTCGCGTACCCCCTGAGGACCCCTTTGACTTGGCGGACCCCTAATTATTTTTCGCAGACCCCAGGTTGGGATCCACTACTCTAGATGGCCGGAAATGATACTTTTATAATTATGCTAAAATTCATCCTCATCATCATCAAATCACCATTATATAGTCCAAATGAAGTGCCAACCAAGTTCTCATGATCTTTTATCAGGGATTTTCGGCAAACATAGAGATTTAGGTAATTAACCCAGGACAATTTAGGCCTAACTATAACTTACTGAGCTTTAACTACAATAATAATTATTATGCTCGGAGAAATTACATTTTTTTCGCTTTTAGCACAATTTTCCTCACTTTTTAATATCATTAATATTATTACCGTATCTATTATCATTATCACCATCCTTATCGTCATCATCATTATTAATACTAGGCCTACTACTAGTAGTAGTGTATTATTAAAACTTTATAAAAGC